TGATCACACATCCCACAGAGATGATCAAAGGACTAGGAGCATCTGTCATATGCTCCAGGAGAGGATGAGAGAGCTGGGACTGTTCGGCCTGGTGAGGGAAAGACTCAGGAGGACCCTACCAAGGTGTATAAAACCCCAGTGGGGGAGGATGTAAAGAAGACAGTCAAACACTTCTCAGTGTTACCCAGTGGCAGGACAAGAGACAAGGGACACAAACTGAACCACAAGAAATTCCACCTGAACAAAAGCAAAACACTGTTTTTTAGTGTGGAGTTGATGGATCTGAGGAACACATTTCTCAGAAAGGTTGCATCTTTGGAGGTATCCAAAACACAACTGGACACAGTCCTTTGCAACTGGCTCTAGGAGACCCTGCTCGTAGCATGGAGGTTGGACTAGATGATCACCAGAGATTTCTTCCAAACTCGGCATTTCTGTGGTTCTATACTACTGCTGAGCAAAAAAATAATGGCTTTCAATGTCTGACCCAACACACATGAAAACAACACTATTCCTCATCCCTGAGAACTACACTTGCTTGTTGTTGAAGGGTGGAAAATATCCCTTTGCGAGTCAGTATATTAATTCCCCCTCTATCCTAAGACTCCAAATACAGATGACCATGTCCTTGGATAGCCAAAGTGAGGAAGCAGAAACAAGTAAACCAGCTTTGTCTCCCCTACCTTAAACTTCCCTTCCCTGCTTCCTGCCATGCTACTGAGCTGCATCACTCCAGAGCAATGATCCCTCTCCTCCAACTTAGACATGGCCATGACCCAAACCAGCTGCAAGTCACTTAAATCACAGAGGATGCATGTGAACAGGATCAGTTTGCAGCTGGAAAAAGCGTATTTTGCCCTCTGAGAAAGGGTAACTACCACAGGCTATGGAAATATTTGTAGAAAACATCAATTCTGAAACTGGAGACACAAAGAATGAGGAGGGACACAGTGAGGAGGCAACAGGAAGGGAGGGCAAGGACTAAGATGTCCTACACAATTGCTCTTTATAGTGTAGCATTTCTTCACCTTCCTGAGAGGACAAAACTGTTGACCCCATGAGCCACACAGTAAAATATCCACATGGCCCAGAGCTGTAAGACAAGGACCTTAGTCCTGGGAGAACTGCAAAGAAGGGGAGTGCTAGGAGTGGTTTCCATCCATCTCTCCTCTCCACTACAGAATGAGGATGGGGCACAGCATTCAGTTTTCCTGGCTCACTTGTTTTGCCATGGGAAGGAGAGACAGATTCCACAGCCCTGCTGCCTGCCACGTGATGCAGTCCCATGAGAAGATGCAGGCCCACACTCCCTGTCAGCTGCATGTGATTAAAGGGCCAGCCAGTGGCCAAACTCTGCCTCAGCAGCGAGGGCAGCCTGATCACTTACCCCTCGTTGTCATTCTGCTCCATGGGCTGAAGTTCAGGCGACCACACGGACGACAAGAAAACTCCCGTGTGCCCTAGGGACCAACACATCAGGAATTTTCTGTATCTCTACGGGCAAGGACTCTGAAGAGTCAGGTCATAAACTGTGAGTACCCAAGTTTTCTCAGAGCAAATTGTCATGTGTGTTGTACAGTGTATTTACAGACACGGCTTTTTTATGTAGCTATTTATGCTACAGACTGGGAAGGCTTGAACAATTACTTGGTAGGCTGTAACTTGGTCACATTATCAATGGATTACAGTGTCTCTGCACAATATTTATGAATAGAGAGACATTTACCAAATCCATCTCCTAGCAGACCCATAAAACAACTAGAATCTTACTGCTTCTACTGAGCTTTACTTCCTGTTACTCTACAGAAACACCGAAAGAAAGAGTGTAGCAAAGAATAAACCACTCTTCTATTCACCCAATAAAAAGTATTACCTGGAAAATTTCAAATAAATGAGAAATAGCATGACCTTTTTTTATCTCAGTTTCCCCATCAGTCACAATCTCAGCTCCCACAGAGATGCTGCTCACACAGGTTGTAAATCAAATGAGTCAGAGAGCTTTTCTCCCACTTAGCCATAAAACACCTGCCTCACTCCAGATGTTACTGAATAGTAATAATCAGAGAGGGCTTTATTTGAAACACTAATCACCAAGATTATATTAAAAAACCAAAAATCCTTGTTTTAACCCATGTTTTTAGTGTAGTCACACTCTGGGATCCAGGGCTCCATTTTACCTGGTGCTTCACACCAACAGTTCCTGTCTTAAACGGGTAGCAAAGCACACAAATTTCATCTGGACTAACTACAAAACACCACTCAAACAAGAACATCCACTGCTTTTCTGCATGTCATTGTTAATGTAATTCCTGCCCAGTAACATATTAGGAGGTGCTGAACTCAACAGGAATTTAGGGCACTTGGAAAGATCAGCTCGGAAACGCACAGGCATTCACAGACAAATGCCCTCAGCTGCTCCCTGCTGCCATAAGCTGCTTTGTACTACGATTTCATGGCTGATTCGTGCTCATTTACTTCAAACTGGTAATCACACAGGGCCACTGGTTTCCCTGGAACTCAACCCATTTAAACCACTTGAGCATCTAAGTGGTTCTTAGCCTGCCTCCCTGCCACAGAGCTGGTGGCTTCGTTCCCTTCCTTGACACCTCCTATAAGGGCCTGAAGCGACAGAACAAGGGGCCATGGCTTCAAACTGACAGAGAGGAGGTTTAGGTTGGTTTTTAGGAAAAAATTCTTCCCTGTCAGGGTGGTGAGGCCCTGGCACAGGTTGCCCAGAGAAGCTGTGGGTGCCCCATCCCTGGAAGTGTTCCAGGCCAGGTTGGATGGGGCTCTGAGCAACCTGGGCTAGTGGAAGGTGTCCCTGCCCATGGCAGGGGATTGGAACGAGATGATCTTTAAAAGTCCCTTCAAACGCAGGCCATTCTATGATTCTATGGTTCTGTGCTCCTCCCCCACCCTGAAACAAATCAAAAAATTCCTTGAATTTATCTAATTTATCTAAGAACTTTCTGTGAGATGTAGAGGAATCAAGTCACACCCTACCAGCCATGACGCTCTGAAAAGATCCAGCTGGTTTAATTCCTTTGTCATCATCACTGCTCAGCAGTGTTTCACCATGGACTGTAAGAAGTCCTGAAGCTGGGTGTAAGTTTTAGTACAATTTAGACTGCATTTGAGAAGATTCACCTCCAAAGTGCATGTAGGTTATGTTTGTAGAAAAAAATGCTAGTATACATTTTTAACAATGTCCTGCACAAAGTAAGATACACAAGCAGATTTAAAGTATCACAGCAGACATCTGCTGTGAGAGAAACAGTTACTTTCTTCTATTACACTTCCAGATTATATTAATCAATAGGATGTTTTAAGTTCTTTTTTAAAAGCAAATAAGGCCTGGAGCACACTAACTTCCACTACAGTAAATCATATTTTTTGATACTGCTACACTAGCTTTATCAAGGGAGTGTTAAAAAATTCTGGAGAAGAGTAGGAATTAACAAGTTATCTTTCTCTGTAGATGTCCTCACGAAAGCTGACATTTTCTATGTGTCTTAGATAATATCAAATTAATTCTGCAGCTATCACTCATGTTTTTCATAAACTGTTCCAAGTTAAATTCAAATCTATGCAGAGTGAAAGAGAAGAATTTAAGTTGTCACTAAAACAGCAATGTGATTTTGAGACCTATGGGCAAAATAAAGGATGTTCATGTATATATTTCATTGCCTCCAATTTTTAATTTTATTATCTTAAGCATCTGTGATCACAGAACACTGTCCAGAGTCACAAAACACCAATAGAGAAAAATACATTTGGTGTTACTTTAACACATTTCTCCTTTAAAAGAAGGGGATTTTTTTCCCTACTTATTGTATTACAGTGGAACTTGATGGGCAGGATTCTTCCCTATTGGCCAAATAAAAGCCCTTATTTAAGTAAAACTTTGCCAGATGTGAATAGGAAAGAAAGACCCTCAGCTAGTTATTCAGAAGAAATGAGTTATGTTGACTTGCACCAGGGCATTTTTCATTTTATACAGGAGCAATGAGCTGCATAGGATGCTGGCAGTGAGGTCTCAATTCCCATGTTCTTCACATTCCTTTTGGAACCCAAGTCATAGGAGTAAGAACTTGATGAGTATTTCCAAAGAGAAACACAGAAATGAAAAGACCAACACTCCTCCACTCTGCTACCTGTCTCCCCATCACTAATGTTCCAGCCAAGATGTGGGATTGTGTGGACATATTAATCTGTTCTGAAGCAGGACTGAGCTGCTCTCCGTGTTGGTGGATTTTAGCAGCCTTTTTAAAGTGTCATAAATGGATGAGATCACAGACATTTGAAGACCAGGAAAAGTAAATCACAGTCCTGCCAGGCAGAATGCATGCTTTGAATATGCATTAGCAATAGTGGCTCCACACTATGCAGTGATACCCAGCTTCCATTTGCTACCTTTAATTAATAATTGAAGGTATTGACTACCATAGTTTCCAGCTGCTGTTTAGCATCCTCTGATACGTAGATTGATACCCTATATTAACACAGCACATCCTGAACAGTCCCCAAACCCTTTACTTATTTAAGGAACTGACACACAAAGCTCCCTTCCCATTTTTGAGACGCAGCTACTCCCGAGACAAAACACGCTGCTCTTCAACAGCACGCTGGAATGCTACCAAGGGATGAGAACAGCACAGGCAATATTCACAGGGCAAACAGACACAGAGCCAAAGCAGACCATAGCAGAACTCCAGTTCTGCCCAGACACCAGGAAGGCCTCACAGTTCATAATGACACCAAGATCTTACTGCATTCCTTATCCCAAGTATTGACAAGATGCCCCTTACTGCCATGCTGGAGAGCAATTCAACAGTATCCCAGGAGGACTGAATCAGTGGCTTCACAGTCTCCACACCAAACACAGAGACTTGCTGGAGCATTCAGTAAAAAATTTCACACAACAGTGTTTCTGACAGAGTAGCCACAACACATAAAACCTGGCAGTGCTCTGGTTCATGACACTTCTTTGTCTCAAACACAGGAGGATACACAAAAGCAGAAAGGAAAAAGGTTCCATACGTTAAAGAGCCCAAAGGCCAGAAGCCAATATGGTCAGAAGTCCATGGGAAGAGGTTAGTCCATCATGACTTACTGCACAAATTTGTTCAGGACAAACAAGTGTATATCAGATCAGTGTTTTCCTCACAGGCATAAAGATTTCTCATTTGCTATTTGGAGCCTTAAAGTGAATCCATTCTTTCGTTGAGCCATTCCTCACTGAAGCAATGACCCAGGGTGACTTTGGGGGTCTCATCTCCATGGGCAACACTCAGTTCCAGCTGCATCCCTACACTCCAATGACCACTTGTGGCTATTCCTGCAGAACTGCAGAGTCACCACGCTGCAGAGACATTGCCTTTTAACACCACGTGGTCGCTGTTCACACCCAGCAGCAGCTCCTGCAATACTCATGTCTCACTCTCCTCAGGGTTTAAATATTAAGTATCACAAAAGTTTACATTAAAGCCCCATTAGCAGTGAATGCTCTTCCCTTGGAACGCCAGCCATTTTTATCATCTAAATAATCATAACAAAGGTATGTATCCCAAGTAACAGAGATCTTTTTTAATGGTGGGGGTTTTTTTATTCTTTCTCAAATAATTAATGCCAAGATACCTCAATTTAAGCAAAAAAAAAAAAAAATTCCCTCTCTTTGGGAGGAAACCACCCAAAGTACATTTTTGGAAACGTTCATTTACGCTTTTATCTTTTCTGATTCCTACAGAAAAAAGTTTGCAACTGAAAAAAACAAACTTAGTGACACTAATTGAAGCTGCCTGTATCAGGCTTGAGGGAAATAAGTGTATCCATGAGTATTTCAGGAACATTTGCAAGTGATTTATTTGCATCAAAAGCCATGGCAACAAAGTTCAGCAATCCAAGTTCATCACAATGTTTGGATAGCTAGAAAAGGAACCAAAGGAAAGGTACCTCCCCTGTAAATTGAGATTGGCTTTTTTTTTTCAGCTGAAGAGGAATAGTGCACACTGAAAAAAGAGTGGAAGCCTCAAAGAAGAAAGGAAAACACATCTAAACACCTACCATGAGTGAGTGATTCCGCTTGAAGGCAGGACCCTGTTGGCAGTGTCAGTTCTCACCATCAATGCAGAATGTGTAAAGAACAAAATGCCATGAGAATCTAGAAGATCCTTCATTCAGAATTTAGTGCAAACTTTGCATGTAGATAAGTGTTCAGAATGGCTAGGCAGCAATGAGCTAAACATTCAATAAATTAAAAACTTTTTTTTTTCCCAACCTGAAAAAATATTTCGAATCTATATTGTGTTCTCAGTATTCATGGAAAAGTACTCGGACAATCTTTCCATGGTTTGTCTGGAAAGCTAGGGTTTTGGATGGCTGTTTTTTTCTTTTTCTTTCTTGCTCACCACTGAATTATTCATAACAAAGTTCAGCCTTATATTGAGCTATGGGCTTGATGTGTTCCTTGCCAAACAGAAACAGCTTTACTGTAAAAGTAGGATGTGACTCCCTGGATGTGGATGTGTGCACCACCCTGGAGTGTAACTGTGGGCTCAGCCACTTCTTTCCCCATTGAACGTGACTGTACCCACCAAGATGAGAAATATGAGATATTTCTTAGGGACTGAAATGCCAAAGGAAACTCCCCACAGATGCAAGTACCTTGGAATTGTCAAGCCCTCTTATCATTTGTACCCACCAAAGATGTTTAAATCTTCTGCAGTGACTGTGGGCTGTATGGATGGGGGACTGTGGGACTCTAAAGCCACTTTAATCCCACTGCACCTGGATTTCCCACAGCAGGGAAACTAACCATGGGTGAGCCTGCAGCATGGGAATGGTGACCCATAAAACACGTTTGTCCTTGACCTGTCCTCCTTCTAAGGATCAACCAGCTTTTTTTATGCAGCTCTCTCTCTCACAGTCAGTGCTCCCATGCTCAAAAGCCAAATGTGCTACTGTTCCTACCTAGCAAGAGCAGGTCACCAAATATACCATCTACAATTACATTTTCATCTTCTAGCTGTAAAAGGTTTCTATTCAAGAGTCATAATTGTCTTCTCGTTGGAATAAAATGTGAGGTATTTTAGGAAGCTCTTAGAGAAGCCGAGTGGATTGAAGTATTGTTGTGCTAATTAAAGCTTCTTTGATTTTCCAACGCTGAATCTCAACCCTCTGTGAAGTGAGCATTTTTTATAGCAAGACCAACCATGGGATACAGTACAACTCTAAAAGTACCTGTTAGAAGCCCCAAGTACAGAATGTTTCTCTTCTTCTTTTCTTAGCAGACTGAAAAGGAGCATGAAATCATGGTCTCTCTACAACCTTCTGAAGGAAAAAGATACAATCCTATTCACTTCTGTGGGCTCTGGCTTACTCCAGGAGCACATATTTGCAGAGTTTGGCTGTGGCAGTTCATAGCAGCTGCTCTTGGGGACAGCACTGAATCACATGGTCTGATTTTCTTTGGCAGTCAGACCATCTGACTTAAACTGTGAGCCCTGAAGGCACCTGCTCCAGATGCTTCAGAGGATGGATAAAACTTTAACAGTGGCTAAGAGTGTACCTTTGCAAAAGTTTATTTTTTGCCAGCAGAGGTTAAGATCCATTTTGTGCTTTGGAGTATCAGGATTCTCATTCATTGAGGTAGAAATACCCTGTGCCTGCATGGCAAGGGAGTACATATTCACACCTGAGATTCCTAGGTTTCCATAAAGCAGTTATTTCGTATCCATCAATCAAACAGTACATGCAAGCTGAGTGACTTCCAAGACTAACTTTTAGGTAAATCAAATTTATTTTGAAATCATCTATAATCCATCAAGAAGGTAACATATAAAAATAGCACCTTGTTACTGACTGGACTGTATCTCTCTGTGTTGACAGTCTGCTGAATTATTGCTCCCCTTATAACCCAAGTGTCAGAGCAGCTGAAGAAGAAAGAGGAGCCTTTTCCAAGGATCATCATGTCTGTTATCTAAGCTATACCTGCAGAGCCACAATCTTTGCCTCAGTGTAGGATGCTTCAGAGAAAACCTACAAGACAAGGAGGTGGCCTGGTGTAACCAAAGGAAGGACTCAATGTGTAACATTTTTGTAATTGATGAAATATAAAATATAGCATGGGAGGATTTGCATTTTGGGGGGGAAAAACCCACACATTTGCTTCTGAGATTAAGTAAGGAATAACTTAGAGACTCAACTAACCCAATACACAATGCTGATTTTTTTTTTTTTATGGAATCATTTTAGAGGGCAAACCCCATGTCCTGGAACCTGGGCCTGAATGCACAAAGTTTTGCCTGAAAACCTCCACTTAACAAAACTGACCACATCCCAGAAAGTGATGACTGCACTGACTGTGGGAAGGATGAGGAATGACACAGGATGAGATACCATCCTGGCAGCATCATGGCCAAAAGAACCTAGTGGGAGCACTTTCCACACTGAGGAGGCAGCACAGATAAAAACAGGCAAGGTCTTTCTTCCAAAAAAACCTGATTGTGATACAAGAATTTTATTTCCAGTCCTAAGGAAAAGGAGCTTTTAATCTAGATCCATGTATGGTGAGACAGACCATGCAGGAACCCAGCAGTGAAGGCTCTGGGGTCAGTATTTCACAAGATTAAGTGTGGCCACAGTGGGAGAAAAATAGTAGAGAGATACAGGGATAGGTTATACAGCAAGTGAATTGAAGGCTCAGGGAAACAGGTTATGCAGCAACATTGCAATCTGATCTAAACAATACAACAGGAGCTTGAACAAATGGGAGAAGATTCCTACATAGAGATGATTAACAAGCTTTTCTTCTACACAAGAGAGAGAAAAGGATGAAGCAATGAGACTTTAGACACACCTAGAGCCAACCAAACTCAATGACAGTGATCACACCCTTGAAGTGAGGCATGGACACGAGTACCTCAGTGAATTAAGACCACCACCACCACAGAGCAGCTAACAGACAAATGTCTTGGACTAGACCCATTTAAAACCGACAACTACAAATCCCCACTGACAGCTCAACAAACCAATTTTTGACAATCCCTAAGTGATATTCAATCAGACCAACTAAATGCTTGAAGCTACTGATGAATGAGGATTTCATTGATGGAAGGTTTTCTCGACCAAGAAAGCGAAACAAGTAAGTAAATTAAATCACATTACAGGCCACATAAAATGTTCTGCCTCATGTAGAGGTCAGGGTATTTTCACTTCATTTCACCCATATGTGAATCAGCATTCATCCCACTGTTACAAACTGCACCTACCCACAGAAAGACCTGCCAGCCCCTGTAGATGGACTCCCAACACACAACAGCTTTGGCAGAAAATAATTAGCATTCATCTCACTGCCCTCTCTGTACATGACACAACACTGAGACACGGCACACGTGGCTGTATCAGACCAGTTTGCACAAAACACACCTTGAAAAACCAACTTTCAAAAGGAAACAAGACAAAGTCCATTTGACTTGCTGACATTCAACCCAACCCAAACCAAACCCCATGATCAGTCTCACAGCTGTTTGAAACCTGATTTCATCTGCACTTAGATGATAATGCTACAGGCAGTGATTGATACCCACAAGCCTTTGGAGAACACAGTGTTCACAGTCAGGAGGTTTAATCTTACTTCTGCTTTTTTTGGTGGAACTGAGTGATGTCTCAGCAGTGAAGGCAGCACAGTTTGGCCCCAGAATGTTACTAACTCAAGGCTAGATCCAAAGCCTATGGAAGCCAAACCTTTGGATTAATTGCACTGTAAAGGTTGAGTTCACACTTACAAGACTCTCAAAACCCACAGCCCCATTTCCCACTCACTACTTTGCCACTTCTCATACCATTCAATAAGAAAACCATTAATAAACCAACCATTCATTTCAGATGGAACTGGCCAATAGTGACAGCAGAGAAACCAGACTCCAGAAAATAACCAGACAGAATAAACCTGGGTAAGATCCTTAAAAATTATCTTTAATTGATGCCAAGTATGAACAGATGAACGAGTACAGAAGCAGGTAAAACTGCATAGATGAAAACTATGCATTTCAAATAGTTGGAGAACTCATAACATCAGATGTTCTAAAAATGGTAAGTCAAACAATTTCACTACTGGAAGTAAAATGAGCTGTAATGTGACAATGAAGTACATACTTGACCAAAGTATAAGCGATTTGTAAATGGTGGAAATAAGTACAGCTGTGTCAGCTTAAATGGTTTGTTGCCCTGACGGTGCACTTTCATATGGAGACTATTCAGTTTATATATATCACATCGGCAATATTTGATCTTTAAAGTCAGAGGTATGTCTGAGAGGCCATTTACAGTTCCATTGACAGCTGTTATTTATTCATTTCAAACCAACATACTGCAAAAACAATGTTTTACATGTAAAGGAAAGGAAAAAAAAAAAAAGATTTCATCTTAGCAGGTTATAGGTAAGGGTTTGCTGAATTTAGTCATAAAAATATCATTTTTACTTTTGTACAAAAGTAAAATATACATTTGATCCCAATTACATTTATAGAAATGTCACTGAAACAATAACATGGATCAAAGACTGATGCACCTAAAGGAACTGAATGCAGCGTCTTCATTTTATTATAGAAACTAGAAATGGAAGATGATTTATTTTTTTTTGTAACTTATAGTGACATTTGCTAGAGCCTGTGAACAGGTGAAATATACAGAATTATACAAATATTAACAGAAACTTTGAGACAAATTTCAGTTAAGACCTCAGTTTCATTTTATTTCCTTTGAAAATATCAAAGCATGCTATGCCTTGACAGCATAAATTGTTGACCTCACCGGTGGCAAGTTCACCTGTACTGAGTGAAACAGCAGAACACCCTGAAGTTTCATTTTTTGCAGATACAAATACTGACACCTTTAAGAATATTTGATAAGCATTTCAGGAAAAATAAATTCCCTACACCCGATTAAGTAAAGCCAGAACAACGGAAAACAGAAAAAAAAAAAAAAAAAAGAAAGCCTGCTAAAGTCCAATAAAAATTGAAGTGCAGGTCCCTGGTCAAAGCATCTCAGGAAAGAAGCCTGTTTCAGACTTGCAATGGGCAAGTCTGGAACAAACTTGCCATGTTGTGCAATTGCAAGCACAGCTTTCCAGTTCTGTCCAGCTCTGTGGCCACGGAGGGTAAATCACACCTTGGAGCTGGTTCCACATCCATGTGGGTCTGAAATTACTGTGAATATCATTAGCATCAGGCTGCTGGAAGCCTACAGGATCAGACCATTCCTGGAAAAGCTGCAGTACCTCCCTCTTCTTCATGTTAGGGGAAAAGATTAATCCAGAATGGCACCCCTCCAGTAAGAGTTATCCAGCTAATATTTGGGAAGGAATATATTCTCTCCATAGATTGCACATGTATGCAGAAGGTTTTGTTCTAAAATACAATTTTCCACCTTTTTCTAATTAATTTCAGATGTTCCTGTCCTACTGTTCATCGTGTTTTGTTTAATATTTGAGCATACAAGAAACTGCACTGTTCCAGTGTGAACTATGGAAAAGTGAAACACCCTCAGTTCCTCATGCTTAGAAATAAAGAGGTTACTCTTGGGCTTCAGCTCTCTCCTAACAGAAACTAACTTTCTGTACTTCTGCCTATTTAAAACAACTGTCCTTTAATTTAAAAAAAAAAAACAAACAACAAAACCTGTCAATAAAAGTTGCCACTGCTCAATCAATTGTTGATTTGGACCAATGCAGCCTCTAACGAGTGATTTGCTAAGAAGGGCAAAAATCACTGCTGCAAACAAGAGGACATTTGCTGAATTTTGCCCTGTCTCTAGTGCTTCGCACTGTCTTTCAAGTGCTTGTCCACAGGATCAACAGTAAATCAGGTTTAGCACGAGTGCAGCGAAGAGATTCTGTAAGTGGAAATTAATTCCCTTGGGCCGCGATCATTGTCAGCATTGACCCTCCTCACACCTACAAACGAGTAAACCAGGAGCAAAGGAAGGAAATCACCAGAACCCTTGCCGGGATCAACATGTTATCCCCTCGGTAAGCCAGGATGTGAATTTCCAGCACTCATGTACTAAAGAGTTTTGTTGCACGTGGGCACACTCTGCCCAGCCACCCCCTGCCAAGCAGGGTCAGTTCCAGTACATCTAATGATTACTAAAGGCTTATCTGTCTGAATGAACTTGTGAGGCAGATGAGGTAAACTGCATTAAGCCCCATTGTGTTCGGAATTAAAGCAGCCTTAATTCAATTCAGGTTACTTTCCTTCAAAAAGAATGACTCCAAATCAGATTAAGGTTGCTTTAATACTGCAACAGAATGTCCATGCTGGGCTTTAAAGCGGTTTAACAAATCTACTTTGAATGCACACCTTTCATCGATTCGGATTGGCTTTCCTGAAGTCCCCAGTGGAGATAAGGCTTGGGAGGCTCCATGCAGGGAATCTGCATGGTTTTGCTGGGATGCTGGGAACTCACACCCTGGCTTACTGCACGCTAACTTCCTCATAAGGGCAAATAAATCCAGTTCATTGTCTGTGCTGGAGCTGCCACACAGAGGGTTGGAGCTCTTGGCAGTCTGGCAGCAACCCCTTGGTTCTGTGAAGGAACGGGGTACAGAGCCTTTCATTTTCACTCTCCTCTGCCTGTTCCTTAGTGCTCTGGAGCTAAGTACGGTAGGACCAGATGGGGAATTCTGGCAGTGATTCCAGCCTACTGGGTTCCTGCCTCTGCACTGCAGTGCACTGGAGCCTTGCTCCTGCCAGGTAAGTTCCCTCATCCCCTTCACCAAGTGGATGAAGGAAAAGCTCTTTGGAGGCAGCAGAGAAGCACAAGAGAGGCAGGGAGCAGTGGCTGGGGAAGGAGGCTTGTGTAGTGATTCCTTATGATGGAATAGCTGCTTTCCCTCACCAAACTACAGTCCAGCTAAGACTGCCATATCTACTGGTTTCTCTGTCTGGCTTAACACAGGCATTGCTTCTGGGAGGTCCCCACCAAAA